TCCATTCAGGCCCCATATGTTATGCAAATCAACTTTTATGTTCGTTTCCGAATTAGTCATGCCCAAACTTTTAGGGACGAGTTTGGGGCGTGACAACTCCTTTACCCTGAAACGTAACCTCGGCTTGATTTGGGGGTTTCAATGTAACACTTTTGGAAACATAATTAATGAATGCACGATTTACTACTAACCAATCCTTTCCCAATATGACATCAAAATGAATCATGTTCAACGGCATCAAATCAACTAGTAGTTCAACATTCTCAATTACTACAGCACATGCTCTATAAATGGATGCAACGGTCATAGTTCTCCCAGATGGAGCGGACAAAGACAACAAATAACCAAGGGGTTCTGGTTCCCTATTTAACTTCTCGGCAAATTTAGTAGAGACAAATGAATGTGTAGAACACGAATCAATCAATATATATGCATCTTGAGAACAAATTGGAAGGGTACCTGACACTACTGTCTCGGCGCTCTGAGTGTCTCTTGGCACTAGTGCAAAAACTCTGCCCTCCCTCATCTACGCCTTCCCGACATTGCTTTTCTGTGTAGAGCCCGAAGTACTCCCATTTTTCTTACCATCATTAGTCTTTATCTTCGGACAGTCTTTCACACGATGACATATCTCACCACATTCAAAACAAGCTCCAGACGCCCAATGACAAACTCCGAAATGCGGCTTCCCACAACTGGAACATGTCAGCCTAGTGTTACCTTCCTGGGTCGAGTTGCTTGAACTGCCCATATTCGCCTTCTTTTTGGCACCAAACGATGCTCGACGATTGTCATAATTCTGCCTTTTTCTCTGGCTCTCTCCTCAACCCTGATATCGGTTTAAATTAGCTTCTACCAGGATAGCCTTGTCTAATACTCCGGCGTATGTTGGCATGCTGAGCATGTTAACTTGATCTTGTATTGGCCCACGAAGCCCACTTTCAAATTTCCTAGCTTTTCTATATTCATCATTGACCATATGAGGGGCATATCTCGCCAACTCGGTGAAGGCATGGTCGTATTCAACCACTGTTCTGTTACCCTGTGTCAAAGTCTGAAATTCTGTGGTCTTACGATCTCGGACACTAAGAGGGAAATGCTTGTCATAAAATAACTCCAAAAATTTGGCCCAAGTCAAACCTGGATTACCCTCCCGGATCGTTATCCACCACCTACGAGCATCGTCGTCTAACGTGAATGCTGCCAATGACACTTTCTGAGCGTCGGTGCTGGGAAAAATCTCGAACAACTTCTCCATCTCAAGAACCCATGCTTCGGCTTTCAACAACTCTATACCTGCATAGAACTTCGGCGGATTGATCTTCTTAAATTCCTTGATCAAAGTCAATGTGCCATCCCCATACAAAGCTGGCTGTGGAGGCACTTGCGGTACTGGAGGAGGTGTAGGCGGAACTGCATGTCGACCGTTGGTATGCTCGGCCTGAGCAGAGGTAGTACTAGTGTGCTGCTACCATGCTTGCCTCAACTCATGGGCCAAACCCTCTACCATCCTTTCTAATCTATCCAACCTGTCCTTGAATTGATCTCAACTAACTGGAGGTCTAGCCCTTCTCATGATGCTAGGAGTATGCAAAATGCGACTTTAAAACAAAATGAACAAATAGACATGTATGCAAGTACCAAATAATCATGCCGAGATGATGCTCATCTTGTCAAGTAGCAAGCAATATGATGCAATTCTAACATTATTCTAAGGGAAATCCTATGCTCTTTAGGACTCAAGTGTGTGAATAACGTACTATAAAGAACCGGAGCTCTGATACCAATCTGTCACGACCCCATTCTGCCCCTAGTAGAATGGTGCCATAATGACCAATAATCCGAGATTACCAAAGGCCAACTTACAAAGATTCACACAATTAGAGTATATATATATATATATGGGGCATACATGTGCGGAAGCAATAAATTTAAATCTAAATAGTCCATAAGAGCTGTGCATAAATCAAATGAAATGACATACATCATGACATCATTTACAACTTGGATACAAATGAAATAAAGTACATATTATATCTTGATCAAAAGGCTTCTCAAGTCGAAACATACAAAAGATATGGATTACAAACTAAGAAGCATAATTTTCAAGATGCTAGCAAAACGTAAATCCAAAACAACTTGCAAATAACATCTAGGCGTCACCGCCCTCTTGCTCATCACTTACATATATATAAGGAGAGAGTGAGCTTGGATACTCAGTGAATGATATTAGTAATAAAGGTTTGAATGAATGATATTCGAGATCTTTATCAAAACAATACATAGCATAACTTGTATAAATCAAGGGATGAACCAAGTTCATCTATCAAGTCTTTCAAAGTTTCGAGGGATGCTTACTAGCATCAATATAATACAAGGGATGACATTCCTGACAAAACAAGGGAATAATCGACACGGAATCAATTAGACAAACCCACCCGTACAAGACCATCGGTGGCAAGGGAGATATCTCAAACAAGGGTACTAGTTGCATTATAGTCCCTTAGCACTAAGGTGTAAACACCCCATTTTTGACCGACCTTAAGACTCAGACATCACTGATTGAGCGCTTGGTGATGTTGCATAATGTGCTCGTTCAGAAGTTTCAGAGTTGCGGCCGTGAGCCCTGCCTCCAGACTTCCGAACCCTCTTTTGTGGCCAGTAATCTGAGATTACCAAAGGCTAACTTACAAAGTCACACACAACAGAGTATACATATGGGGCTTACATGTGCGGAAACAATAAATTTAAATCTAAATTGTCCACAAGAGCTGTGCATAAATCAAATGAAATGACATACATCATGACATCATTTACAACTTGGATACAAATGAAATAAAGTACATATTATATCTTGATCAAAAGGCTTCTCAAGTCGAAACATACAAAAGATATGGATTACAAACTAAGAAGCATAATTTTTAAATGCTAGCAAAACGTGAATCCAAAACAACTTGCAAATAACATCTAGGCGTCACCGCCCTCTTGCTCATCACCTACATATATATAAGGAGAGAGTGAGCTTGGATACTCAGTGAATGATATTAGTAATAAAGGTTTGAATGAATGATATTCGAGATCTTTATCAAAACAATACATAGCATAACTAGTACAAATCAAGGGATGAACCAAGTTCATCTATCAAGTCTTTCAAAGCTTCGAGGGATGCTTACTAGCATCAATATAATACAAGGGATGACATTCCTGACAAAACAAGGGAATAATCGATCTGGAATCAATTAGACAAACCCACCCGTACAAGACCGTCAGTGGCAAGGGAGATATCTCAAACAAGGGTACTAGTTGCATTATAGTCTCCTAGCACTAAGGACTTTTCAAGAATGTCATCAAAACAAGATAATACTTGATACAAAATTATGAATAATCATTCATACTTGAACAAACACTTTTCCAAAACGAAACAAGCAAAGCTTTTATCAAAACATTAGAAAATAGCTTTATTAAAAATACCACTCACATAGCTCTTCGGGTGCAGGGATTAAGGCTAGAATCCAAGACCTACAAATACATGGCAAGGTCCACTGAAACGCATTTCAAGAAGACAAGAAGAGATGCTCAAAGATGGATATAAAATGCATTCCCAAAATAAGCTTTACATGAGTGTAAATGATCCCGGCATTTCTTTCAAAACTAAGTCAAGACAAAGCAAATCATGTGCTGGGAGTTAAAACACTGTTTCTCACCTCGAGAAAACATGCTGGGTACCAATCAGGTCTTGGCCGAGGTCCCACACCTCTTGGCCGACGTGTGGTCTCCTAGGCCTAGGTGCGAGATCTAGGCAAGAGTGGGTCTCGGCGACCACACTTAGGGAAATGAAGTCTGGAAAATCTGGGTTTCCTCTTGAAGAACATGAAGAACATGAACATGAAGAACATGAATGCCAAAATCATAACTTCTTTATTCAAAATCTGAGATTTCATGAGATGAATTCAAAAACATGAACCTGGGTACCCGTAGTTGAAGATCTTTTTGAAAACAAACATAAAAATACGGAACTTGTTATAAACTTTCGAATCAAAACATGGTTTTCCTTCAAGAACTCAAGAACATCATTTTCTCTTTCTAAAACCAAACTTTAAATCAATACATGGCTCATGAATCATGCCAGATCATGCAATGTGATCAAATAAACATAAAGAACAACAAGAGTAGATTAAGAATCTAATCTCAAAACACGGATCTAACGGCTTAAACTCTAAAGATCAAGCTTGGGATCTAGCTCTCTCACTCTAAACTTCTCTTCCTCTTCCTAGAGCTTCTCTCTCTACAATGCAAAAGGTATGACACAAATGATATGGGTTCTCAGTTAGAACCTGACTTAACTCTCTGCTGGGACACGTGGCAACGCCGGATTGGATCTCCTCAAAAATGTGATAGAATGACAAGACAAGAGTTATGACAAAGTGTGTATAACAAGCAAGGTGACAAGGGCACTCTAACAAGGCAATGACCTCGGGTCAAGACGTAGGCTTTCGCAAGTAAGGTCTCAATGATCTTGGCTAGGAAGGATGACACTTGACCTAGATGTGCCACACCTCAGTCTAGGTCATACCAATCCAGGAACAAGATCACTAGGTGCAAGGATCAAGGATCTAGAATGCCTAGATGATAACATCTTGGCCTAGATGATACATATCTCGGCCTAGGTGATGCACACCTCGGCCTTAATGATGACATCTCGACCAATATGCCAAGGTGAAGGTGGAGGTCAACCAAAGTGGTTCCAAGGTGGTCCTAGGTGTTGGCGTGCAATGGCCTAGGTGTGAGAGGTTCAAAGGTGTGACCTAGGCTACGCACACCAAGCAAGGAACAAAGCATACAAGCAATACTCAAGCAAATCACATAAGCACAAAACAAGACATGGACCTTTACTTTAGGCAAAACAAGTCAAAATCTACAAATGCAAGCTTAACAAAACAAAATCATGCAGATGCACATGAACATGGCTAAGACGAGGATGAGGGTCATTACAATGGTAGTGGCAATTGGGTTGTGTTTGGAATTTTGACGGGTGGAATTTTCATTTGGCTTTGTAAGAAGGTGATGACTCTCGATCTTTCATCTTTTGAAAAATGGAAATTTTTGCTTTCTGTAATATTACCAAGTTTTACTTCTATTACTTCTATTACCATAAGCAATCCTAACTCATGTTATTAATTGTTGGTAGTGTTCCTGTCATTGTTGTTATACTCTTTACATCCCTAATTTCAAGTTTCCTGATGAATGCTCTTGTAACTCGATTTACATGCTTGACTATTTTTCCTAAAATGTTTATGTGAGGACAGTTGGTGATGGTGGCATTCATTTTTGAAAAACCACCTATGGTTGTTTTGACATGTGTCCAATAAACCTTCTTTTTGAATAGTCTAACAATGCAGAAAAGAGTCTAAAATAAGAGAGTTGTCATGTCGATTATGAAAATTCATTTTTGTACTTGCTCAGTGATTCATAGTGTTATTTATTTGTTACTTTTTTTTTTAAAGTATGCAGCGTATTCCCAAGTTTTTGTCCATACTAGCTGTCAAATGGGTATCCAAGTTCCTAATTTCTTCCTTCACTATAAAGCATATGCCCCTTCACAGAGTCCAAATCCTGTTACACTTGTATTCAATAAGAATCCTATAAACAAAAACTTTTTTTCAAAAGAAAAACTATTGCGCTATGTATGTCGGTCAAAGGATACACTAATTTGGCATTGACTCATAATTTTTACTGATAGTGCATGTTACCTTCTACAGAATTATATCTAACTATATAAGTTTAAGCTTCTAAGCCCATGAAGTGTAATCCTTAAACTTGCTGGAGCTGACTTTCCATGTCTTTTTATTTTGCTGGAAGTTTATTGCCTACCAATGCAACAGAGTTTAGTTGTGCTGAACATATTGGAGTTACGGGAATAATATGCCACCCCTTTCTACCACATATATAATCATTAAAGTGAAAAGTGTATCAATTTAAGATTCTGTAATTTTGTTTCCATAAAAGATAACAGAAAAAAGTATATTCATTTTAGAATAATGTACCAGTAATTTGGAAAGTCTGAATGAAGTGTGAATAAGCTAAAGAGTCATAAATGCTAAAATTTTCTAGTATTCCATAACTGAAGCACCTCTTCATCATATCTTTTATTTCAAATTTGAACTTCCATGTTGGTGACATCACTTTGATTTTTCAATCAGGTTATTCATTTGCTTCTTTGTGGAGTTTGTACTGTTACACCGTTGTTAACTTCATTACATACTTCCCTGTTCGTATTGAATTTTAATTGCATTATATAGCAATTAAGTGAATTACAGCTTCAATAACTTAGATGTCTTGTTCTTGATGTTTCAATACCAAGACTTTGGTGAGCAAAAATGAAGCACTATAAACCTGACCCTGGCAGAAGCTTATAGCATAAGTTCAAAGCAAACAATTTGTCCTTCTGCTGAAAACATGAAATAGGAGTCCATTTCTCTCCACTCCTGGCACATATAATCTGACGTGCCGTGCCGATTTGCATGCTTTTTGGCCAATATTATTGACTTGCATTATTGTTTTTTTTTGTTCAATTTTTGGAGCAATATGGTGAAGTAAGCATGTTAGACATAAAAGGAGCGAACGCAACTAAAGTCATTCTTGTTGTTGGAATAATGACTCTTCATTCCTTTAGGGAAGGTTCTAGTGTCGAAGTGTCCTTTGCTGGCTCAAAAGATTTATCTCAGGGCCTTTTGGTAACTTTGCCTATTGATGTGCATAACATACATGAGGGCTTAGCTGTTAGTATGGTGTTGGCATCAAGGGGGGTTTCTCCACAGAATGTAATGTTCTGGAGTGTAATTACATCATTGCCCCAGGTAATACTATAGTTTTTCTTATTGATATCTTCAAACTCACTGGTTGGAAAATGGAAATATACGTTTCAAACTAAAAAGCAACTGAGCATGTAAAAGACATGATTTCCTTTCAGTGGGAACCAAGCCATATATTGCATTACGTACCCATGATTTGCTTTTTGTTGTTTATAACAGAACCTCTATGTTGATTTGGGATAGACATGATATACTTCTACGCTTCATTATATGGTGCATTCACGATTACTTGATGAACGAGCTATATATATAGCGCAATGTCTGACATTTCGAAAACTTATTTGCATCATATACATTATTGATGCTAGTGAAGCATGCAATGGACGCTTCTAGTATTAGGAAATGAATATAACAATAGAGAAAAATAAAAAATAAAAAATCATGATAAGAAAGTACCAGCAATATGCATATATAATATTTTGTTGACCTATTTTATTTTATTTTATTTTTTTGAACGATTGTTCGTATAAGTATGTCTGAATTTTCTGGTGTTTGTGTCACATATTTGTAGCTATCTATAAGGATAGCCATGTCCAATATATCATCTAGAATAGGGTAACTCAAAATATCAACCGTATTTTTGTTCCTTTCAGAAACAAAAAGAGAGAAAGGGGGGGTTATTGACATCATACACATGACTACCACAATGGAAGCATGCGAAAATAGAACCATACATAGAAAGATACAATACAATAGTGGCATGCATATTATAATTATGTATAAGAGGTTCATGAAGTTTAATTTTCAATATTAACATGGAAATTTTGAAAACTAATCAAAGTTGTATAATTTCTTTTAGCACATGTATATATATGAGAATATATGATTCACTGAAAATTTCCTTGCAATGTTGGCGCCCTATTGTTTTAGAATCTTGTATGTGAATCTGTCATGTTTGTGTCCATGTTGTGCTACTTAGACAATATCGGTTCCATTTATCACAAACATCTCTAATGGGGAAAAAAAAAGCATAAAAGGAACTGATTTTTTAATCAATGTTAAGTAGCTAAAGGTTTAAATAATGATATTCTTGTTTATATGTGCTTAAAATGCCTTTTCTTATTGGCCTGTTCGCATCTTTGTTGCTGCAGCCTATTGTAGCAGTTCCTTCATTTATATGTGCAAATGCTTTTAACAAATTCCTGCCATTCTGTACGGGCTTTGCAGCTGCGTGTATGATTTGGATGGTCATTGCTGAGGTCCTTCCCGATGGACTCAAGGTAACATTCCTCATTGTCTGGTTGAATCTTTGATCTTAAAGATTTGTGCACAACACTAAGGTTTCATCTTCTTGTGACACAGTAATAGGTTAACCAATTTCCTTTCAATCAAATTAGCAAAGTTAGGACAATTGCTTTGCTTCTGCCTATCGTTCACTTGATGGTTCATGTTAGAATACTTATTTTTGTTCTTTTGTTCTCTTGTTAATATTTACGTAAGATGAGGGTACGATGGTCATATTGCTATATTAGGGTTTGTATATATATTTGGCTGATGTCAAGTTAAGAAACAATGATTATTCAATACATATAAAATTACTCTTTCTTTTTCTTTTTCCTCATAAATCCCAACCCTAAACTCTTTCATTTTACAATCTAACTTGGTATTAGAGCAATCTATTCTTCTTCAGAAAGGTTTCTACAGACTAGAGATCGATATCAAGTGACTAAGACGTGCTGATGTCATCAGCCGTACAATGATGTCAACATGACGTAAGCACTGTACGGACAGGTCCTTTACCCCTAGACTCGAAATTGCCTCCTGAGATTTATTGATTTTTGTGGAATTTTTTGATCATCCCTGATATAAGTTTTCGATTTTTGAAAGTATTTCATGTTTTTGGTACTGTTTTTCAAATCTGCTCTTAGGACTGTTTTTTGCTAAATCTACTTGCTGGAATCCTATCTCTGGGAGCCGAAACTCCCTCCTTCAGTGTTATTTGCTATTATTTTGTTGATTTACTACTGTTAGGTTGATGTTTGATTCGTTTTTGGACTTTTTCTGGTACTATACATAATTGGCAGTGTTATTTTCCAACCTATACCCACTGAAACTTACTATATAGGGGCTGAAAATTATCTAGCAAGGTCTGGTTGATCTTAAAGTGTTGATTTGTGTTGGTGGGTTGATGTTTTTGCTTGAATTTGCGCCCAAATCTGTTTGGTAGACATAGGTTCTCCAATCATTCCTCTGTAATCTTGGATTCTTGTTGGTTGAACTATTTCTAGTGGCTATACTCATGGTTGTAAGAGCTAATTGGTGTGGATAATTTCTATTTGCAAGATTTCTACAGCTTTCATACTCGTGTTGAGTATTTTGTGTGACTGATTGTCATGGCTAAAATTGAGAATAAGGCAATAGCTATGAGTAAAGATGATGGCATGCCCAAATCTATTACTACCAAGAAGTTGAATGGTGCCAATTATTTAGCTTGGGCTCATGCCGTTAAAAATTTCTTACGTGGTAAGAAGAAATCCCGCTTCATTAGCGAACTCCCTCCTATAACTAACGACAAAGCTTATGATGATTGGTGTGGTGACAATTCCTGTGTTATGGGTTGGATATGGCATAGCTTGGAACCATAGGTTACTACTACCGTGGAATTTTGTGATACCTCTAAGGAAATTTGGGAGTCCCTTGCTGACTCCTTTTCGACAGAGTAATGTCTCTCGGGTCTATAAGCTATATGAGTAGATTTTTGATATGCGCCAATATGGCCGGTCTCTTCCTGATTATTATAGTAGTCTCAGGACCTTGTGGGATCAGTTATTGCAGCATCGACCCTTCACTACTAATGTGAACAAACAGAAGCAACATTGGGAGGACTTCATGATGGCTTCTTTACTCTCTGGCTTAGATCTTGAATTGCGAGGGTTCAAGGATCAGATTCTTACCAGTGAGACTTTACCTTCTGCTGCTAATACCTATTCTCGGCAATTACATTCTTCTTTGGGATAGGCACAATCTACCTCCGGGTCCTCTACCTTGTCATCTTTTGCATTAGTCTCGAGTAGTGCTCATCGTGGGTCTACTCGAGGGGGTTTTCTTGGCACATCTAGTCAACAAGGCTCTTATTCTGGTTCACGGGGTTCTCGTGGGGCTGGTTCCTGTGGTGGTGGCTCCCGTGGTGGTTTCAGGAATGAAGGAAGTAGTGGACCTAGTTCTCGCACACGTGGCGATCACAAGTGTACTCATTGTGGTTCCCGAGGTCATACTGAACCTTGGTGTTGGCAGAAGTATGGCTGTCACGCCCCACTTTTTATTACTCGAAATCATTACCAAATCCATTAATTCACTTCAAGTTCAGAGACAACATGCGGAAATAAACTCAAATATTCGACTAGTAGAATTAAATAGTAATTCTCTCATTCGAATGCAAATTACATACAACATGAGCATTCTAAATAAACTGCGCGTAGGCTTACAATCATTAAAGAATCAAAAGAAGGGTGTAACCCTTTTACAACAATGGCACTTCGCCAACACAAAAGAGGCCCCGTGGCCAACAAATAAAAAGATCCAAATCTCGTATCACATCCTGACTATCACTTGAAAAAGATTCAATAACGTGGGATGAACATATAGTCCAGTAGGGATCTCAACATGATCCTCAACAATAACAACTTACAGATAGCTATGATCATGAATGCTCAATCTCATACTAGAATATTAATGTGGCAGTTTATACAAAAATATACATAAGTATGAATTTTTCTCAAAAACAACCATTTCATTCAACGCTATAAGCGATTCATCTTTCTTTTCTTTTCATTATCCCTGGTTCCCCAACTTTTATAACAATAACAACATCTTAGAAAACAATTTCACTAAGCCCACTACCTTTCTCCTATTTTCCATACTTACAACAGATTTTTTCCTTTTTCAAAACATACTTTCAAATACCCAATTTTTCTCCAAAATCTCACAATGGCATTTTGGTTTGTTCCCAATACATTCATATATATACATGCATGCCTTTAAAAAAAAAGGAGATAACAAATCATCAACATTTATATAATATTACCTGAAAAAGATTCAACAACGTGGGATGAACATATAGTCCAGTAGGGATCTCAACATGGCCCTCAACAATAACAACTTACAGATAGCTATGATCACGAATGCTCAATCTCATACTAGAATAGTAATGTGGCAGTTTATAAAAAATATACATAAGTATGTACTTTTCTTGAAAATAGCCATTTCATTCAACGCTATAAGCCATTCATCTTTCTTTTCTTTTCATTATCCCTGGTTCCCCAACTTTTATAACAATAACAACATCTTAGAAAACAATTTCACTAAGCCCATTACCTTTCTCCTATTTTCCATACTTACAACAGATTTTTTCCTTTTTCCAAACATACTTTCAAATACCCAATTTTTCTTCACACATTCCCAAAATCTCACAATGGCATTTTGGTTTGTTCCCAATACATTCATATCTATACATGCATGCCTTTAAAAAAAAGGAGATAACAAATCATCAACATTTATATAATCAACAAATGAGGCAACTCGGCCCTCCAAAGTTGTAACCATCGCAATACATGATATACTCAGATACACTGAGACAAAAACAATAAAACTCTACTCTACCGGCTAAGTCAGTTCTCCAGGCGCTAGCTGGAAGGTGACGGTACTTCTGATTATAAGCGCAGTCAGTTCTCTAGGTGCTAGCTGGAAGGTAACGGTACCTCTGATTATAAGGGCAGTGTATAACACCAATAATCATAATACAACAGAGCATAACCAACAAGTGTAATGCACACACATAAACTATCAAGATACATAAACAATGTGTTAAAGTATATGAACACATAGGTGTGTGGAGTACATCCCCTATCTCCTCCCACACACTGGAGTACATTACCTATCTTCTCCCTAACAATTATACATATATAATGTATCATGGCACTTTATTACATACAATGTTCAATCAACACCAGTGTAATGCAAACACAACAATTCAATACAACAATGTTATCCTCCACCAATGACCAAAGACAAAACCCCTAGATGCATGTATTCAGTACACCTATTAGAAGACTCAACTATCATGAGATCTTAAACCCAACAACAACGCTAGTACGATAAGTAAAGGTGAAACCCCAAATGTGGGTATTCAACACTCATGACATAATAGTTCAATTTCCATATTCATTTTTCGAGACTCACATAGAGTTAACATTTCATTTTCCATTTTCAAGGTCAACTTTCATAAACTTTCCAAGTCAACATGTTACACCACTTATTCCCAAAAACACTTTTCCCATTCACAAAACCAACTCCATTCTTTTTATTTTACAAAACCAATTCCATGGATAATAAGGTCATAATCCAACTTGGTTCAATACATTCATTTCAAGACAACCCCAAAGCCATAGTTAATCCCTTAGGCATTAACACCTTCACCTAACTCATATTAACAATAGTAACTTACGATTATTGTTCAATCAACCTCCCTCTTTAATTTACCAAAACAAAATATAATTTAGGATTTTCTCCTCTTTCAATAATATCATGCTATATTACCTCCCAAATAGTCCAAATAACCAACAATGATAACAAACTCGTTCTCAAACAACCAACCCTAAGTTCCCTTACATGAATTTCAAAGAAATCCAACATGGATATGATTTTCATGCAATACAAATTTACCACATGTCTATCTATAGACAGAGTATTGAAAAAGGAACAAAGAAATCCCTACCTCAAATGAAGAACCCAAGGGAAAGAAGAGCCAAACTCAGAAGTGCTCCAATCCCAAAGTTTTTCGGATCAAAACGAAGCCCACGCAACCCTCTATCTTTCTTACAAAGAGATTAGGGTAGGAACACCCAAGAACTAGATCAATCCCTAGAGAGAAGGTGAGTGTAGAGAGAGAGTGTGTCGAATCTAGGGTTTTGAGACAAAAAGGAAATCAAAAATTGAAGAAGAAGCTGCTGCTGCGAACTGATATATACGTTCCTCGCTCGAGCGAAGGAGTGGTTGCTTGAGCGACCAGACACAAAGAAACCTCGCTCGAGCGCACAAAGCCTCACTCGAGTGAACAACACGAAGCTTTAGGTCTGCAACCCAGAAGCACGCTCGAGCGAAGAAACGCTCGCTCGAGCGAAGAAGCCCAAAACATACAATTCGCTCGCTCGCTCGAGCCAAGGTTGCGTCTGAGCAAAACCTGAAGACACGAAAAGCTCGCTCGAGCGTACAAACCCTCGCT